TTTCAATGGAGAGGAATAAATGGGATTAGGTCAGGGGTTTCAAATAGAGTTAGAGCTAAAGAAGGAGTAGCAATAATGTTGAAGGATAAGCTATGGCAGGAAAAGAGGGACTATAAATGTATTAATTCAAGGATTATGTGGAGTAAAATAAAGATTGGATGTGAAAAGTGGGTTATAATAAGCGTGTATGCACCTGGAGAAGAGAGAAGTGTAGAGGAGAGAGAGAGATTTTGGGAAATGTTGAGTGAATGCATGGGGAGTTTTGAATCAAGTGTGAGAGTAGTGGTGGTTGGGGATTTCAATGCTAAAGTGGGTAAAAATGTTATAGAGGGAGTAGTGGGTAAATTTGGGGTGCCAGGGGTAAATGTAAATGGGGAGCCTTTAATTGAGCTATGTGTAGAAAGAGATTTGGTAATAAGTAATACATATTTTATAAAAAAGAGGATAAATAAATATACAAGGTATGATGTAGCACGTAATGAAAGTAGTTTATTAGATTATGTATTGGTGGATAAAAGGTTGATGGGTAGGCTCCAGGATGTACATGTTTATAGAGGGGCAACTGATATATCGGATCATTATTTAGTTGTAGCTACAGTTAGAGTAAGAGGTAGATGGGAAAAGAGGAAGGTGGCAACAACAAGTAAGAGGGAGGTGAAAGTGTATAAACTAAGGGAGGAGGAAGTTCGGGTGAGATATAAGCGACTATTGGCAGAAAAGGTGGGCTAGTGCAAAGATGAGTAGTGGGGGGGTTGAAGAGGGTTGGAATAGTTTTAAAAATGCAGTATTAGAATGTGGGCAGAAGTTTGTGGTTATAGGAGGGTGGGGGCAGGAGGAAAGAGGAGTGATTGGTGGAATGATGAAGTAAAAGGTGTGATAAAAGAGAAAAAGGTAGCTTATGAGAGGTTTTATAAAGCAGAAGTGTTATAAGAAGAGCAGAGTATATGGAGAGTAAAAGAAAGGTAAAGAGAGTGGTGAGAGAGTGCAAAAGGAGAGCAGATGATAGAGTGGGAGAGGCACTGTCAAGAAATTTTAATGAAAATAAGAAAAAAATTTGGAGTGAGTTAAACAAGTTAAGAAAGCCTAGGGAAAGTATGGATTTGTCAGTTTAAAAACAGAGTAGGGGAGTTAGTAGATGGGGAGATGGAGGTATTAGGTAGATGGCGAGAATATTTTGAGGAACTTTTAAATGTTAAGGAAGAAAGAGAGGCAGTAATTTCATGCACTGGTCAGGGAGGTATACCATCTTTTAGGAGTGAAGAAGAGCAGAATGTAAGTGTGGGGGAGGTACGTGAGGCATTATGTAGAATGAAAGGGGGTTTAAAGCAGCTGGAACTGATGGGATCATGACAGAAATGTTAAAAGCAGGGGGGGATATAGTGTTGGAGTGGTTGGTACTTTTGTTTAATAAACGTATGAAAAGGGGAAGGTACCTAGGGATTGGCAGAGAGCATGTATAGTCCCTTTATATAAAGGGAAAGGGGACAAAAGAGACTGTAAAAATTATAGAGGAATAAGTTTACTGAGTATACCAGGAAAAGTGTACGGTAGGGTTATAATTGAAAGAATTAGAGGTAAGACAGAATGTAGGATTGCGGATGAGCAAGGAGGTTTCAGAGTGGGTAGGGGATGGTAGATCAAGTGTTTACATTGAAGCATATATGTGAACAGTATTTAGATAAAGGTAGGGAAGTTTTTATTGCATTTATAGATTTAGAAAAGGCATATGATAGAGTGGATAGAGGAGCAATGTGGCAGATGCTGCAAGTATATGGAATAGGTGGTAAGTTATTAAATGCTGTAAAGAGTTTTTATGAGGATAGTGAGGCTCAGGTTGGGTTGTGTAGAAGAGGGGGAGACTACTTCGCGGTAAAAGTAGGTCTTAGACAGGATGTGTAATGTCACCATGGTTGTTTAATATATTTATAGATGGGGTTGTAAAGGAATTTAATGCTAGGGTGTTCGGGAGAGGGGTGGGATTAAATTTTGGGGAATCAAATTCAAATGGGAATTGACACAGTTACTTTTTGCTGATGATACTATGCTTATGGGAGATTCTAAAGAAAAATTGCCAAAGTTAGTGGATGAGTTTGGGAATGTGTGTAAAGGTAGAAAGTTGAAAGTGAACATAGAAAAGAGTAAGGTGATGAGGGTATCAAATGTTTTAGATAAAGAAAAATTGGATATCAAATTGGGGAGGAGGAGTATGGAAGAAGTGAATGTTTTCAGATACTTGGGAGTTGACATGTCGGCGGATGGGTTTATGAAGGATGAGGTTAATCATAGAATTGATGAGGGAAAAAAAGTGAGTGGTTTATTGAGGTATATGTGGAGTCAAAAAACATTATCTATGGAGGCAAAGAAGGGAATGTATGAAAGTATAGTAGTACCAACACTCTTATATGGGTGTGAAGCTTGGGTGGTAAATGCAGCAGCGAGGAGACGGTTGGAGGCAGTGGAGATGTCCTGTTTAAGGGCAATGTGTGGTGTAAATATTATGCAGAAAATTTGGAGTGTGGAAATTAGGAAAAGGTGTGGAGTTAATAAAAGTATTAGTCAAGAGGGCAGAAGAAGGGTTGTTGAGGTGGTTTGGTCATTTAGAGAGAATGGATCAAAGTAGAATGACATGGAAAGCATATAAATCCATAGGGGAAGGAAGGCGGGGTAGGGGTCGTCCTCGAAAGGGTTGGAGAGAGGGGGTAAAGGAGGTTTTGTGGGCAAGGGGCTTGGACTTCCAGCAAGCGTGCGTGAGCGTGTTAGATAGGAGTGAATGGAGACGAATGGTACTTGGGACCTGACGATCTGTTGGAGTGTGAGCATGGTAATATTTAGTGAAGGGATTCAGGGAAACAGGTTATTTTCATATAGTCGGACTTGAGTCCTGGAAATGGGAAGTACAATGCCTGCACTTTAAAGGAGGGGTTTGGGATATTGGCAGTTTGGAGGGATATGTTGTGTATCTTTATATGTGTATGCTTCTAAACTGTGTATTCTGAGCACCTCTGCAAAAACAGTGATAATGTGCGAGTGTGGTGAAAGTGTTGAATGATGATGAAAGTATTTTCTTTTTGGGGATTTTCTTTCTTTTTGGGTCACCCTGCCTCGGTGGGAGACGGCTGACTTGTTGAAAAAAAAAAAAATATACGTCTTACAAGCCAATGTGTTTGACGTATGTACATTATACTCAAAAATTCTAGCGGTTTCAAATCAAGCAGGAGAAAGCTGGTAGGCCCACATGTGAGAGAATGGGTCTGTGTGGTCAGTGTGCGCAGTGCATTTGTTTACTCTTGGACATGGAAAAAATCAAACATTTCCCCTACTTTGAGCTCCATTTCAAGATCTTTTTCATAGTAAAGTCAATCAAAATCACCTCTATCTCTATAATATGTTTTCCATTTTATCAAATGTGACTATGAAAATGAATATAACCATAAAAACTATACAAAAATACACCTCAAAGTCGGCATTTTAATCCACTGCATGATGCAGGATTTTTTTATATAGTGCACACTGACCACACAGACCCATTCTCTCACATGTGGGCCTACCAGTTTTCTCCTGCTTGATTTGAAGCCGCTAGAATTTTTGAGTATATATACGTCAAACACGTTGGCTCGTAAGACGTACATATACGACCGAAACAGTCAAAGGGTTAATATGATAGTGTAAATGCTATCAGGTTTTTATATGTATTTGCAAGTGATAAAAGGCCACATTCAATGTACAGGGATTTTTGCTTTACAGCAATAGCCCTGAACCTGGCCTGCTGTGTAAGCAGAACCCTCCTGCATATATAATATAAATGTATGCCCTTTTCATGTAACCCTTCTTATGACACAACTTTTGTGATATCCCACTCAGATCTGACTTCTCTGCGGGGCCCTACTGTATATATAAAATGCTTGAAAGTTTGGAAAGTTTCCTGACAGAATTGAGAGAGATGTAGAGCTCAGAGAATGTAAACAAAATGAAAGAAAATGACGCATGGACACCCAGCTGGGAGCTCAGGCCATGATAGCGAATCAGGAGCCATATAAACGAATTTTTAGGTAGTAATTTGAAATGTCTGTATTAGCAAAGAGCCGAGAAGCAAAGTGCTGTAAACTGGGGCCCTGGAGGTTACCTGGAGGTTATTCCGGGGATCAACGCCCCCGCGGCCCGGTCCATGACCAGGCCTCCCGATGGATCAGGGCCTGATAAACTAGGCTGTTACTGCTGGCCGCACGCAGTCCGACGTACGAGCCACAGCCCGGCTGATCCGGCACCGACTTTAGGTATCTGTCCAGCTCTCTCTTGAAGGCAGCCAGGGGTTTATTGGCAATTCCCCTAATGCTTGATGGGAGGCTGTTGAACAGTTTTGGGCCCCGGACACTTATGGTGTTTTCTCTTAGTGTACCAATGGCGCCCCTACTTTTTATTGGCGGCATTTTGCATCGCCTGCCCAGTCTTTTACTTTCGTAGGGAGTGATTTCTGTGTGCAGATTTGGGACCATTCCTTCCAAGATTTTCCAAGTGTAGATTATGATATATCTCTCCCTCCTGCGTTCCAACGAGTACAAGTCAAGTGCTTCCAAGCGTTCCCAGTAGTCCCTTATATTACAGACACTCTTCACTTAATGACTTACCTCTTTAACAACCACTCGGACTTATGACCAGCTCTCTGACCAGTATACAAACCCAAGTAATGTATATTAGAGCTGATTTCCTCTATTCTGTTTATTACAGTATAAAGTACACTGTATTGTATAAACATTTAAAATTTATTAAAAATGTTGTAAATGGTGCAAACAATATCTAAAGATGGTCGACACAAACCCACTACCAGTACAGTATGCTCCTCGCTTAACAACCAATTCGCTTACTGAGCTACTCTTAGGAATGGAACTTGATCGTTAAGTGAGGAGCACCTGTACAATATTAGTTCATCTGTATTTTTAAGTATGTATTCCAGGAATAATATAAGTACTAGAGTAAAAAAATTTGATGAAATGTGCCCACAGGAGGATCGTGACAAGAAGCGCCAGGCAGAATTACAAAGAAAAGCAGAGAATCGAGCTTTGGCAGAGGTTGAAGTGGCAGAAATCACGCCTAAGTCTGCAGTACCACAGAAGGTGACAGCCTACCAGTTGCAGGTGAGCTTTATAATGGAAATTAACACAAGTACTGTACAATATTACTATTAATTTAGTATTTTAAAAAGTTTATAAATTTGGTGTTGGTTGCACATGATGGGTACAGCACACACATCTTAAGAGGAAAGTAATGCTAAGTGGAATTTACACTAAGTGAAATCCATTTTTCCATAAAATCTCATGTTATAATTGGAAATATGCCTTAAAAAAGAAATATTATGCCATGGAACTCAATGACATGATGCTGAAAATAGTGAAACAAAGACACAATTTGCAAAGGTCTTGTTGGGTCAGTTTTCATCTGCTAAGATCAGAACTTCAAGAAGTCATTGTGATTTGATAAAGGTTTTAACAGATAGGAATGTTGTCCCAATAGAAGCTTGTTCTGCAAGGAAACCAGTACCAATGGCCAGTAAACACATGATGAACAGATACCATCCTGGAATGTATATACTAAAGTTAACGAAACACTAACTGATGGTAATTGACTACCTGTGTTGGTGATTCGAGATGTGAAGTTTACTTTCTGCAGAGTAGAGGTATAAGCAGTTAAGTTAAACAGAACAATGAGCAAGTACAGTACATTTGTTAGATTAGACAGAACAGTGAAAAAGTGAGTGTGTGTGTGTTACATTATCGACAGAATTGAAAAAGTGTTAGGTGAGACAGAACATTGAGACAGAGAGGGTAAAACCGAGAAATTGGAATTGTTAAATTAGACAGAGAAATAGGTGGGCGAGTTGGGGTGGAGCAAACTGAGGAAAAAGAACTAGGTATGAGAAATAAGACAGGGAGAAGGAAGAAAAAGCTAGGAGAAAATAGTGTTTGTAAAATTACCAGCTTGGTTAAATTACTGTTTTCTATGACTCTTATCCAGTGCTTTATTAAACTTTAATTATAGTACTCTGATGAAGTGTAATGCATCCTGAATCAAACACTGTATTGTGAAAATACTTTAGAATATCATATTATAGAAATAGCAATACTTTTCCCTTTTAACTTTGTTTAAAATACAAATAAACCACAACAGCTACAGAATAAAATTATAATATTAATTCTGGTTTGATTCTTTATTTTTACTTATTTACAGTACAGTGCTTCATTATTTACATTTTCAGAAAATTAAAGAAAAACAGGCAGAAACAGAGAAGGAAATAATCCAAACCCACTTAGATGTACCCCTGGTTGAAAACCTCAATAGAACAATCGATGAAGTTGTGTCTGCAAGTGGTGTTGACGCTGCATTGTCTGCATTGAGGTAAGTAATAAAATATGAAAAGATGTCTGAATGTACCCAAATACATTACAAAATTATTAGAATTAAAAATTGTACACTTCTTTGAAATCTAAAACCCAGTCTCCATCCTGCAGCTGTTTGTTGAGGTTGTTAAAAAAAGAAACACCATAAATATGTTAAGGTTAACCTGGCCTTATCTTTCAGAGGAATCTTATTAACAAAATAAGGTGCACAGTTTAAGATAAGTGATTAATAATAAAAAAAAGCTTTTGTTTTTTCTTAAATTCTGTTTAACACTAATTTTTGATTATAATAATAATTTTCTTTAATTCTGTACCTTATTTTTGGCTTTATTTTCTACATAAATCTGATGTTTCTTTCTGCACTTCCTTGAAGTCTCTATGTACTGTACATTAGATCCCCTACTTAGGATGCTCAAACTTAGGATATTGCTCCATAAGAACCAGTTAATTAATTACTGACACTGATCTGCAGTCACAATTATTGCAAATATTCAAACAATTTTATTTTTCAACACCAGCTGTATTTTGCCAAGGCAGGGGTGACCCAAAAAGAAAAACAAAAGTTTTTCTTTATAAATTTAAAAAGAAGAAAGTTTTTCTTTTTAATTTAGTAATTTATACAGAAGAGGTTACTAGCTCCTTGCTCCTGGCATTTTAGTTGCCTCTTACTACATGCAAGGCTTACTGAGGAAGAATTCTTTTTCACTTTCCCATGGAGAAAAGGGGAAATAAAGAAAAGCAAGAGCTATTAAGAAAATAGAAGAAAACCCAGATGGGTGTGTGTATATATGCTTATAGTACATGCATGTGTAGTGTGACCTAAGTGTAAGTTTTTATGTATTTATGAGACAGAAAAAGGCACAACAATCCTACCATTCATGTAAAACAATTACAAGTCAAACATATTATTTTAAATAAATGTTTCTATTTTTTACCAAATGCATTCGTATTTTGTGTATGCTCATATTTTCTTAGTGGAAATTAATCAAGAACCGTAGATTTAATATTTATGATATTCTTAAGGCTGAATTATAAAAAAAACACTTAAGTTTTACGAAATGTATTGTTTTCTTTGTATATGTGCCTTTTATTCATATACAGGATGGCCCTGCTTTACAGTGTTTTGCTAATACAGTGGTTTTCAATCATACCCATTCTTCATTTATTCAGGCTACCTACAATAAATATATTCACCACTCACTATAAGCCAAATATGAAAATATTTTAAGGTAAGTAATGTTGTACTGTATATGCATTTTTTAGGCCTAGCTCTATTGCTCACTTAATATATGATAGTGTAAACATGTTATCAGTCTTTTATATGCATTTGAAAGTGAAAAAAAAGGTCATGTTTCACTTTAGAGTGATTTTTTGCTTTATAGAGGTAGCCCAGACCTAACCAGCTTTGGTAGAGATTTGTTAGACTAGAGGAGAAAGGGAGTAAGGAGGAAGTAAATATGTCTGTATATTTGGTCATGGACCTGTTAGCAGATGGGTTTATGAAAGGTGAGGTACACCATTTAATATAAGAGGGTGGAGAAAAGGTGGGTGGTGCATTAAGGCATCTGTGGATATCCCTGGAGACAAAAAAGGGATGTCTATCAGAATATAGTAGTTACAACACAGTTATGTGGGTGTGAAGCATGGGTTTTAAATGTTGCAGTGAGGGGGTTGGAGGCAGTGGAGATGTCATGTTTGAAGGTGATGTGGTGTGAATATTATACAGAGAATTCAGAGATTGGAGGTTAGGTGTGGAGTTACCAAAAATATAATTTAGAGGCATGAAAATTAGTTATTGCAGTAGCTTGGACACTTAAGAGGATGGAGCAAAATATGATGACTAGGGTATATAAATCTGGAAGGAAGGGCGGGGTCATCCCAGGAAGGGTTGGAAGCAGGAAGTGAAGAAGGTTTTGAATATCCAGCAGGCTTGTGTAAGCACATTAGCTCAGATTTGAGGCATGGTGTCGCATACCTCTATTGATAGTGCACTCCGCTCACACATTGAGGTCTGTGGTTCGATTTCTGGTATGGGTGGAAATATTAGAACGTGTCTCCTTAAAACACCTGCTGTCCCTATTTACCTCTCGGTAAAATAGGTACCTAGGTGTTAGCTGATTGGTTTGGGTTGCATCCTGGGGACAAAATTGACATAATTTGCCCGAAATGCTCTGCATGTAGTAGTATGTCATTGATGTCAGCTAGGTCTGTATACCTTGTACATGTACTTGTAGAAATAAAAATTATTATTATAAGTACCGTAACTTTTGTGACCTCCAGCAGATTCACTGAAACAAGAGGAGATATAAAAAAGACCTGGAAAACACTCTCTTAGATTCTGAGAACCCACAAACTGAAATAAACTAGGAATATTGCCCTAACTAAACCGAACGAAACACCACTGCATCCCATTGATACAGTTAACAAGATAAATGACTTCTCAACCATAGGATCTAATCTCGCCAGTAAAATCCCAGGTACCAACGCCCGAGCAAGTGATTACTTAGATGGGAATTTCCGGAACTCCTCCTTGCACCTACTGAGCCCACTGAAGTCACCATGATTGTTAAGTTACTTAAAAATAATTCAGGGAATCTGTCTCACGTCCCACCATTATTATACAAGCGATTGGCCCATGTCCTTTTGCATGCTATTTTATGACTTTTTAAAAAGTCACTAGAAACTAGCACTTTCCCAACACGACTCAAGACAGCAAGGTTTACACCAATACACAAAGGTGGTGACCCCACAGATGTAAACAACTTTAGGCCAAACCATTGCTATCCAAAATCATTGAGAAACTCGTGCACAAGAGATAATATTCATTTATAACAGCACAAAGCATACTCAACCCCTGCCAATTTGGCTTCAGAAAAAATAAAAGCACAGATGATGCAATTGTAAAAATGCTAGATCTGCTTTACACAGTACTGGAAAATAAGGAATATCCATTAGGACATTCTATCAACCTAAGAAAAGCTTTTGACACAGTAGACCACGGCATCCTACTCCACGAACTGACCATTATGGTATAAGAGGCCATGCACTTGCTTATTTCAAATCCTACCTTACTAATAGGTATCAGTACGTCACCATGAAAGACACAACCTCGTCAACACAGCCACTTGATACTGGAGTGCCAAGGGGAAGTGTCCTTGTTCCCTGCTCTTCCTCTTATACATCAGTGATCTTCCCAACATATCACAACACCTGAAACCTGTTCTCTTTGCTGACAACATGACTTATGTCATCTCCCACCAAATCTTGCCACACTCAACACCATTGTTAACGAGAAGCTACTAAAAATATCTACCTGGATGACAGCCAATAAACTTACACTTAACACTGATAAAACCTTCTATATTATGCTTGGCAACAGAGCAGGTGTTGCACAACTTAACATTAAGATCGACAACACTCTTATTGCCAGTCGTAATGAGGGCAACCTGAATTTCAGCACCCATATCCAACACATAACAAAAAAAGTATCCAAAACGGTTGGGATCCTCTCCAAGATATGTTACTATGTGCCACAGTCAGCCCTACGCACACTATACTATTCACTCATCCATCCCTACCTCACCTATGCTATTTGTGCCTGGGGATCAACAGCAGCAACATGCCTAAAGCCTGTAATAACCCAGCAAAAAGCTGCAGTAAGAATAATCACGCAATCCAATCCCAGGCATCCCCCATCCCCCCACTCTTCAAAGATCTAAACTTACTCATTGTATGGAACATCCACACTTACTACTGTGCAACCTACATTTACAGAACCTTAAATTCCAATATTAACCCTGAACTAAAACATTTCTTGATAGTTGTGACAGGACCCACAGGCATAACACCAGGCACAAAAATCTCTGACATTTCCTGTGTCCAGCTAAATCTATACAAAAATTCAATGTACATGAAAGGACCTAAAATCTTGAACACCCTACTTGAAAACTCTAGAACTGCAGACACAACCATCACTTTCAAAACTACCGTTAGAAAACATCTTACCTCCCTGACACACCCCACCGTCAGCTAACTACATGATAACCATCTATTCTCTTGTATCATACACACACAAAAAACAACCTAGACCTACTCTTGATACCTGTGATTCTCCACAATTCACACTTACACTCACCCAATTGACTGTAATCATAGAAATACGTAATAAAACTATTACCTAATGAATCTTTAACTAGTCATAAGTTTGCCTGAGAAACTCCAATATAGGAGCTTTAATAGAAACTATGTATTGTACCAAGACGAAACCATTCACATTGCTAAATTTACGAACTGTAATGCAGTTACCTAGCCTTAATATCAACATGCTCCATAATCTGTACCAATATAGAGTTTGAATTAATCTTAGTCTGCCCAAAATGCCTAGTCATGCTAGGTGTGATAGTGGCCCTCTCTGTAATTAGTATTTTATAATATGTAAACCACACATTGTAACCAATATCCTATAATATATAAACCCTGTATTGTAATCTTTATAGAGAATAAACTTGATTGATTGATTGGTGTGCTTTTGGGATGTAACAAGGTAACATTTATGAAGGGACTCGAGGAAATTGGTTAGCTGGACTTGTCCTGGAAATGGGAAGAGAGCCTACACTCTGAACGAGTGAGGATGTAACACTTTCTACCTTTCCTTCCAATTTATTCCATTCTTGCACCACAATTTGTAAAAAAAATAAAAAAATCCCAGTATGTATTCCTTTGGCTCCATTTTTTCTTAATTTTCATCTGTTGCCTCTCTGTTATCTCTGTTGAAGGTAAAGTCATAAAAAAATAAATAATTTATTCCTTTATATCTTTTAATAATGTTTATACTGTCTGTTATTATATCTATTTTCCTTGTATCAGCTAGCATGAAAATCTTTAGTCTTTTCATCCTTTCATCATAGCCCATATTTTTTTTAGCTATTCTTTGAACCTTTTTCTATCTGATTCACATAGTTTTGAACATGCAAACACCATACAACAGATGAATATTCCAATTTTGGACTAATTGATGTTGTAAATAGCATTTTCAGCATATTTTTATCCACATCAGTAATTTAAAGTCATTTTATAGATAGCCTGTATAGTATTGTTTTTCTCGCAATTTCTTCCATGTGAAAACATAGGCATCAGGCATTTCTTGTATTTTTTTATAGCAGTTGCAAAAATAACAGCTTTTGCAGTTTATCTTTTTTCTTATTCCAGTGTCCAAGATGACTCAACTGATCGACACCCAGAGAGGAGAATGGCTGCTGCATTCAAAGCTTTTGAAACACAAAGACTTCCACAAATTAAAAAAGAGAATCCTAACTTGCGACTGTCTCAGCTGAAACAACTGTTACGAAAGGAATGGCAGAAGAGTCCGGAGAATCCTTTAAATAAAATACAACATGAGGATTAATTTATTAATACAGTATGTTACTGCTGATAATAGACTACCTGATAACTACTTGCTTTTAATGCAAGTGAGAGGAAGAATATTATGTAGACATATTAAAACTTAAATAAAAGATATTGTGCAGCTGTTTGAACTGTTTATCCATAGAAAGTACTTTCCCTTTTTAAAGCCTATGGCATTAATACAAAATCTTCCTAAATTGTGCTAGGCTAAAGTTACATACATGTATCTGATAGTGTTATAATTCAAGTGGTGATATGCAAATATATGACTTGGTTAACATTTGATGCCTAGATGTCTTCTTAGATGGAATTTTCTGTTCAAGCAAGTTTAGCATACATTTCCTAACCTCAATAAATACAATAAGTGACCAGATCTGTGTGTGTCAGATTTAGCTCATTATGAAAAAGCTTTTTAAGAGAGGGTACCTTGTTACCAAACACAAGACTGAACAATTTTATGAGTTTTATTGTGTAAGATATGTGCATCACCTGGTTATCTCTTATGATGACATGTTGCCAACCAGTGCTGTTTTCAATTTAATGTAGAGATTGTATATTAGAGACAGTGGAAGATGAGGTGATCAGTCCCTTACTTTTGATAGAAAATATTCAGTCCTTTAGCCATAATCGTCTTCATAATGAAAGATACCCAGTGGTTGTGCATGTCTTATTCATCAACTTGTAGTTATTGTATACCATTAATGTACAGTGGAACCCCGGGTTTTTTCTTTAATGTGTTCCAGAAGGTCGTCCGAAAACTGATTTGTACAAAAACTGAAGTAATATTTCCCATAAGAAATTATGTAAGTCCAACAAATCCATTCCAAACACCCAAAAATATTAAAAAAATTTTTTTTTATAGAGAATAACTATAGTTTTACATACAGAAAACAATGATAAATAAATATAAAGCACTAATGAAATAGATAAATGAACATTTAAATCACTTTTATTGAAGAGACTTGTTGGCGTATGGAAGACGGCGAGGAAGGGAGAGGGAGAGGTTATCTCTACCTCCATCACTACCAACCTCTACCACAATCACTTCCACTTTCTACCACCATCACAACCACTGCCACCCTCTACCACCATCACTACCACCTTCTACTAGTAACAAAGACAGACTGAGTCATGAATGTATGCATCCGCCTGTCCGCGGACAGGCGGATGCATCTGGTATGGACGATTTCCGAGCTGATGTACGAAAACGGGGAAAATTTTGCCGAAAAAAGTGGTTGAAAACTGCATTGTACGATAACCGGACCGGAAGAAAACCGGGGTTCCACTGTAATGGGTATTATTTGAGTTAACTATAGTATATCTTTATTGGGGAGAGCTTTTTTTTTTATGGTACAGTGTATTTAATCTGTTACATCTTTGCATTATTTTTGTTAAAATTTATGGAATCTTGCTACAGATATTTATACTCTTGAAGGATGAAGTTACTTGATGAAGGTGAAATACTCCTGATCCAAGGAGCTGGAGATACACACACCCTCTCTCCTCCCTGAATCAAGCCTCATTACCTCCATTTCCCAGGCACTGTATGACCCCTACTGGTTGAGTACCTCATGATAATGAAAAATTTATTTGAAACTGAAATTAGTACAGTACATAGTCTGAATTAATAAGTTAAATATACTGCAACTGGTTAACCTGCAGCTGCATTTATTTGAAGGATACATATGTATCCCCCCTTAACCAAGCCTGATATATAGGTGTATATAAACATATGAAAATAATTTGTGAACCATAGCTTGTCAAAAGTCATGTAGCCTTTTCCATTTACGTAAAGAATAATTGAGGATTTGCAGGTTTAGCACCTTATTTGATTATATTTTTTATTCATTTGGGCCAGTGACATTTCAGTGTCGCTGGCTTGTTACTGTACGGGTCGCTCATTGTTTATCCCAGGGCCACCAACAGAAAGTTAAGTCTAATCATTGACATAGGATGGATCAGCACTAACATTTTGAAAGGTAATGACATTAATTGATGTTGAAATTAATTTCACAACTGTAATTAGTAACTGGATACATAAAGCCAAGGTGTGAGGATTAGAACAGGTGGTATTTGGCAGTATTGTATGAGAAACCAATAAACACGTCAATTAGTACTATTTCATATTAGGCATTGAATATACAGATAAATTTGAAAATTTTTTAGTTACAGTATTTTCTATTTACTGAAATAATTATCCAAACTGATTTGAAGATCCGTGTTGAAGCACTTAATTTTGATAGTAACAGTTTTGCAGAAAAAATATTTAAGATATACAGCAGTAATATAATGCAAATATTTCAAACCATGTTTGTTATTGTTTAATTATGGCAGCTCCATCCATGACAAAAATGGCTCAATGTAAATGCCCTTCTAGCTTGTTCCATGCACTTCTTTATGGATACTGGTTGCCTTCCCAGTACTGCATTAGATTCACCTCATTTCTTCATACATGCTCTTCTGGAACATTTATTATGTAGCTTCTCTGTATCTCCACAGTTAAAGACTACATGCTATATGCTCTTCATTTTTTCATCCCCCAGTTTCATTACATCACTATTTCACATATGCAATGTTTTTACTATATTTTTACAAAACTATTGGTCTTGCATATCTTTGTTCATTTCCTCCTATCTGTATGTTAAAAGTAATCCTAATTCTTTTACATTTTCATACATTTCTACAAGTTTATGGTGCCAGTTTGTTGCCAAATCATCAATCCCAGTTCTTCATTATTATTTTTTTGCTCAGTCTTATATGGTGAAAGTGTTGTGATCTAAGCAGCTAATATTATACCGAGGAATTTAGCATGATCTAGACATTTATAGTGGAAAAGTTTCTTGACGGCTGAAGTGTTTTTATTTTATTTGTTATAACGTGTGTGTGTGGTATTTTTATGAGAGTAAAATATTGAAGGTATTGCATACAATTGTCATTTTTTTAATATGCAGAATGTTTTACTCTTCTTGTTTTGTTGTTGTTTTTAAATTTTAAACCGTATTAAAACTTGTATTTGTACATTATTGCCCTCGTTATGCTCTTTTTTTTTATAAACTAGTATGCAGCTTTTAAAGATGAAGTTAAGGATTCAGCTTTAAAAGTCCTTGTTAATCTATAATATACTGTCCTATCAGAAGTAAGTAGTCTCTCTGTACCCCTATATAGTAGCAGACTGGCTGGCATCTGTTGACCAGGGAGGTGTCATCTATGTAATAGTATATCATTGATGTCAGCTAGGTCTGTATACCTTGTACATGTACTTGTAGAAATAAAGATACAGTGGAACCTTGACTTATGAGTGTCCCAATGTACGAATTTTTTGAGATACGAGCCGTTGCTCGGTCGAATTTTTTGCTCTTGAGTTACGAGCCAGCTCCCCCCGCTTTCCCCTCAACCCAAAACCTGCACACCTTGCTTGTTTATTTATGATTTCATGCTTTAATTCCATGGAAATCATCCTCCTTTTCTTCTCAGCACTGTTCTTTACACTTTCTTAGGACCCATGTTTAGAAAAACGAAATTTGGCCAAATGACTGAAAAAAATGTAAGCATGAGAGAAATACTCCCACACCGAGGTAAACAATGCACTGAGTTGGTGGCGTTCTGAAGCTCTCGTTATTATTATTGCTGTTATTATTATTACATATATATTCCCACCTCAGGATAGTGGTATTAAGAAAGAAGATATATTATATAATATAATGATAATAGATATGTATGTAATAATAATTCAGAATGTTGCCACCAGTTGGCACAGCCGATGCCAAAACATCCAGTAAGGAGTCCACATATTTACATCTCCGTAGGAGCATTTCTCTAATGCTTGCTTGCATTTTTTAGTCATTTGGCTAAATTTCTTTTTTCTAACCATGGGTCCTAAGAAAATAAGTGCAAAGGACAGTGCTGAGAAGAAAAAGAGGAAATAAAGCAACTGTATCAGTTAAGTTCAGCAGTCAAACAAAATAAATTGTATCATCACTCATCATATTATGGCCTATTTTATTCATTCTAGAGTATATATCATGTTTCTCTGTTAATTATATTGTTTATTATGTCATATTAGATGAATTTTGATAGATAAATAAGCTGCAGAGTTGTTACATTGAAATATTTTGTTCTGCTGCTGGGATGGATTAGTGGCATTTCAGTTAATTTAAATGAGGAAAATTGATTTGATATATTAGCAAATTGAGTTACAAGCTAGGACACGGAACGGATTAAACTCGTAAGTCAAGGTTCCACTGTATATTATATTACACTTGTATTATTATATTTAGTTTAATGTGTTTATTATGCACCCCATACCCATCCTGTGGGCAGTAGTCAAAAGATTACAGAGGTACATAATGGGTCCAGGGACTGGACCCCAAAGTTATGATAGCTGAACTAGTTACAAAGGTAATGAACTCCAGGTAGATCTGGTCACAATCATGGCAAGTTACAAAGGTAATGAACTCATCATTATTATTATTATATTATGAAGGCTTTTTTTCATGTGCTATTCAATTTTAGATGTACTTTGTCAATCACATTTATGAAAAATTGCACTATATAGAGCTTTGTAAGAAAGTTGACTGTAGTTCTGCTGTGAAAATGCTGGCCAACTCTAGTAAATGCCCTTGAATTACTCTTAAAAACAGCCATGTACGTTACTTCATCTGTTGTTTTGGAATCATCTGTTTACACACTCATGAGAATGTGACAGTATTCAAGGAAGATGAAAAAGATATGTGCAACAGCTTAGTATCTTTATTGTGGAAACATTTCGCTATAATTATAATCAAAACCAAGCGCTAAACCCGCTAGGGTCACGACATTTCGCCAACAGTGGCTTTGTCAGTAAAATAGAAAATACTGTAATTACTGAAGATGGTGGAAGATGTGAGGAAATTTGAGGTGATTGGTACCTTACCTTGATGGGTGTTCAATCCTTCAGCTTAGATTAATCTAAAGTAGATGCTTGAGGATGGAGATTTGTATACTGGAGACAGGCAAAGCATAGCTTTGCAACTACATCACAGGTAGGCAGAGCCCATGTATCAACTGCTTTTTTTTCAACAAGTCGGCCGTCTCCCACCGAGGCAGGGTGACCCAAAAAAGAAAGAAAATCCCCAAAAAGAAAATACTTTCATCATCATTCAACACTTTCACCACACTCACACATTATCACTGTTTTTGCAGAGGTGCTCAGAATACAACAGTTTAGAAGCATATACGTATAAAGATACACAACATATCCCTCCAAACTGCCAATATCCCGAACCCCTCCTTTAAAGTGCAGGCATTGTACTTCCCATTTCCAGGACTCTAAGTCCGACTATATGAAAATAACCGGTTTCCCTGAATCCCTTCACTAAATATTACCCTGCTCACACTCCAACAGATCGTCAGGTCCCAAGTATCATTCGTCTCCATTCACTCCCTAACACGCTCACGCACGCTTGCTGGAAGTCCAAGCCCCTCGCCCACTAATTATAATTATAAAAAAAAGTGCTAAACCCACTAGGGTCATACAGCGCTGCAGAGCAGGGGGTTGCTGTTGGAGCATTATTATTATTATAATCAAAAAGAAGCGCTAAACCACAAGGCCTATACAGCACTGACTATTGGAGCAATTATTATTATTATAATCAAAAAGAAGCACTAAGCCACAAGGGCTATACAGCACTATTGGAGCAGAAAGTAGCCAGGGGTAGAAATGATAAGAGAGGTAAAGTTAGAAAGTAGTGAGGAGTGCTATAGAAGTATTATCAAAGTCTGTGTAATTGGTTGCTGTCAAAAAGTTCGAAGAGGGAGTCTATGTCAAAGGTAGGGCCATCAGCAAGGAGGGAAGATAAATGGTATTATTATCATTCTTATTATTAATCAAGGGGATGAGCAACCTGGCAGGAGTTATACAGCGCCTGGGGTGGTTGGAATGGCATTCAGGCTTAATTTGGAACTGGGAGCATAGATCATATTCCTAAATCAAGAAGCCCTCACAACCCTCAAGGGAACCTATCCTTGAGGGGAGGGAAGATAAAGGGTATTAGAAATTGGCACATCAGCACTTGGCTTAATCTAATTCAATAACTGGTTGGATGAAGCTACATGATGCAGGAGTTACTTTCAAAGCTTCATAGATATGGCATCTTGCATTAATGTTTTGTACCTGCAGCAATAATAATTATTATAATCAAAAAGAAGTGCTAAGCCACAAGGGCTATACAGCGCAGCAATAATAAGCTTATACAATTATGGTTTAGAAAATATATTTTCCATAAATATGGCTAATGGAGATGGAATTTTTTTATTCTATACAATAACCAGAGAATGTCTCTTGGTTGCCTTCAAACTTTTTAGGATTTTATTTATCAAACGAAGCTCTGCATTGGCTTTGGGTTGTGTAAGCTTTGTTTTGCCAATTTTATTGAACTGGTTTCTGTGCAATAACTGAGATTATAATCAAATTATTATTATAATCAAATCAAGGGGGAAGTGCTAAATCCATAGGATTATACAGCAGGGGGGGGGGGGATGTGGAAGGTATTCAGGCTTAATTCAGGGAACTGGAACACAGATCCAATTCCCTAGATCAAGAGCCCCTCACCAGCATCAACGAACTTTCCTTGAGGAGTTTACAATCAAAACCAGGCACTAATTGACTGGGCATATCCCTTAGGATTGGCCTCAAACCTTAAATACTGGTGCATTATTATTATCAAAACTGAGTGCTAAACCCACTAGGATTATACAGCTAAATGCTGGAGTAGCTTGCTTAAAAGGGATTGATTATGAGCAGTGTATGTGCCAATTTTATTGAAATTGGGAAAATTAAAATACTGCAATTATTTATAAATGCCTCAGGTTTAATTCCTTAGATCAATCATCATAGGAGAATGCTAAACCCATAGGAATTACAAAGCACCTGTGAGGGGAGGGGAGCCATTCAGGCTTAATTCAGGTCACTGGGGCACAGATCCAGTTCCCTAGAACAAGAGCCCCTCACTAGAATCAAGGAACTTCCCTTAAGGGCCAAGGAAGCAAAGTCGTTAAAATTCCTCAGATCAAAAGCCCTTCACCAGCATTAAGGCACCTTCCTTATAGGGCCAGGCATGGATACTAAGTCTCAATGAACTTGGAGCAAACCCTATTAAGTAATCTTGTCTTAATTAAAATTAACCAAAGTTTCTTCCTTATCCTTATCAGCTAGGAATTGGAAATTTGAAGGTCATATTAACTGTGATAATTATTTTTATTTCATGGGGAAGGGGGCAAGTGAAGGGGTACACTAAACTGTAGGGTCATACAGTGCCTTGGGGAATGGGAGATAATCAGATTCAATCCAAGGAGGCAAAGGTAGATCTAATTCTAATGCCCTTCACTAGCATCAGGGCACCTCCTTTGAATGGTATAAGCACAGCATTTGACTTATTTGGAAAGGCAGTAGATAAATCTTTGAAACTTTCATAAGTCAACATTAAATGTCAATGTTAAGACAATTGTCCTATGGCCCAGCATGTATTTGCCTCTGAGGCTAAGCTGGAGAATTGGAGGCAGCAGGTTCATTTTTTTTGTTTAACACATGGATGTAGCTTTTATTTATTTTTTTTAGTGTATAAATCTCCCTCAAAAAAAAAAAAAAAAAACACCTTAATCCAAGAAACTGGTCCTACCCTTGCATCCCCTTAAGGGTAATGTCTTGGTGCCAGTGAGGGACTCTTGATCTAAGAAAGTTGACTCATTTTCCCATTCCTTGAATTGAATCTGATTACCTTCCATTCCCTATGAATTTCATGACTCCTATCAATTTAGCAATTCCCTTTGATTACAATAATTCCTTTTATCTAACCTGATTGCCTTCTATTGTCCTAAATAACCCACACAGGCTTAGTGCTTGTCATCTTTAATAGTAATTTATTTTAACACCAGCCATTTCCGACCCAAAAAAGAATAATGTATGGTCCCTATGGGTTTAGTGTTTTCTTCCACTTATATAACTGAAAGAGCTGTACATTCATATAGACCTTTTAAAAGTTCAATGTTTGTTAGCAAGATCAAGCTAATCATTACTATCACTAAATGTCCAGACATCTAAGACATACATGCTAAATATATATTTTTTTTAACACGTCGGCAGTCTTCCACTAAGGCAGA